ATAATAATAATAAATAACCCTGTTCACATTGTTAAAGCATAGATTAATTTGGATAATGTTAGAGGTAAGAGATTGCCTGTCGATTTATATAGGATATTTTTTATTTAATCCGTCTTTTAAATTTTTAATAAGAATTTTCGTCTGATTGCTTCTTTTTGGGTACAGAATGATGGTTGTGTCAAAATAAATGCTTTCCTTTTTAAATTGATCTTTTAATGCATTTCGGTATTGTATGAACAGTTCACATTCCAAAAGCACGTGATCAATTGATGGTGTTTTTTGGCACTGGTGGCATATTTGATTTCTTTTGATGAAGAAATATGGTGAGTATAATCTGAGTCGTGTAATCAAGTTATGGCCCTCTCCATACCGTAGGCCCCTACTATAGTTTTTTATGTTTGGTACTATCTTTTTAAAGAATGTGCCTGTCTTTGAATTTGTCCATGCAGTCTGAAAAATGTTTTCTTTTACTCTTTGGTGTAAAAGACTTTTCATTTCGAGGGGTCCCAGGTTTGTATTTATATATTCTTTCTTTTGCATTCTTCCCTTGTTTGCAAGCTTGTCAGCCATCTCATTCCCATCTATTCCGCAATGTGATGGTATCCAAATAATGGTAACCCTTTTTCCGTTAGTTAATAACTGTTCATATAATTCAATTATGTCCTGGAGATTGTCAAATCTAGCATGATTTCTGTGAGGTTCCCCAAGTGATTGGGCTGCGAGAGAGAATCAGTGAGTACAAGGATATCCCTGTTCAATTCATCACTGCACGCCTGTTTCATTGCTCCCTGTATCGCTATCAGTTCAGCAGTAAGAATAGAAGTATAATCTGTTATTCGTGAATACGACCGGATATTTTGTTTTTTGACATAGAATCCTGATCCAGTACGTTCATCCTCCTTGGATCCATCAGTGAAATACTGTATATTATTACTATATAAGTCATGAATATGTTTTAATGTAATATTTTTCATTGATGCGTATTTGTCTTCTCTCTTATTTATTTTGTTCTTTAGTGTTAGGTCCACATTAATGTCACAATATTTCCATAAGGGTAGTTCTTGTTTCAGAGTGGCGGACATTTTTTTTTTAACTTTCAAAGTTCCCATAATTGCTTGTGTGCTTTTTACAATGCCGTTTTTAGTTTTGAGATGTTTGTTTGCGATCTTGATTATTCTGTCTCAATGCTGAATTTTGAATGGTGTCCAGTTTCTTTAGTTGATGCATAGGCGATATAGATACATAGGCTAAATAGGCTAGAGCAACAGCAGTGGAGGGTGGATCTTAAGGAACTGATTTTCTTGGGGTCTAATTAGATTATTTCTTATTCTTTTTGTTTTTTTGTTGGTTTTTTTATCTATCGTCCCTAGTACTCATTTACCTTTTATCAGATACATTCCTTGTGTTTTGTGATACTCCTTTTTTGTTGAAGGGTTTGTTTTGTTTGTTTGTTGCTTTTTGTTTTTGTTTTTGTTTTTTTGGTCTATAAAATTTAGAAATGACGCGCCTTCTCAGTATAACCAGAGAGTATTTAGTATAACTTCTGAATGGACTTGCGCTTGAGTGCGTTGTTGTGGCAAATATCGGATGTTCCCGTGTTATCAATTTTAGTTGGGGGTTTTTTCCTACCTTGATTGTGTTTAACCTAGATTGAGTTGATTTGTCTTCGAATTTTGTTTTGTTTTGATTTTCTAATTACTTTATTTTTATTTTTATTATTTTTTATTAT